TACAAACTTTTCCCAGAGAGAAGCAACCTTAACAATGGCCTTTTTGAAGATGTCACGTAATGTCAACAATTTTTTGTATTTTGCATAAAAACTTCCCCATGGATGGGATACTAGTCCATCATAGCGTTACCCCCAGCATTAAATTCGCTGGAACCCATTTATACACCTGGGTGGAGAAAGGAACTGTAAGAGTGTGTCTTGCCCAAGAACACAACACAATGTTCCCATCCAGGGCTTCAACCCAGGCCATTCAAAAAGTAGTAAAGTGTACAAACCATGAAGCCACCATGCCTCCTATCTACTGTTAGTAATTGTACCTTATCATGCTCTGTTTTAAATCTGTGGTAAAAGCTCTTCAGCCTGTCAATTTCTTTGGCTTGATCTGGAGTGTGAGGACCTGGACCAAATGACTGAAAAAAAACGTCAACAGAATAAACACAAACCTAAATACAAAATGAGCACAGTCACACATACATAAGGATATTAATAAAACTGATTCAGGATAGGTTACTTTTTCAGCCACAATGGATAAAAGCAGTACATATGTTCCAAGTACCTTAAAAAATTTAATAAATTATATCGATTTAGCCAAGCGTAAAAGTGCAGCTCCTGATTGCAATAATTAACCATACAGGAAAAAGAGGATTTGTTTTTCTTGGATCAGAAACTTAAAAAATGATCAATTGTGCAAATGTAATTGTTCAACGTGTGGTGTCGCTATTTTCTCCCTGTTAAATTTTACCAAAATCATACCCAATAGACATAACCAAGATTGTAGAAATTACGTACACAATATATCAGGGACTTTCCAAGAGATGATCATGCAAGGAACATGTCAGATGAAAAGTCAACAATGTGCCACGGGTTAACGTGCGCAAAATTTTGCCTTTGCACATACTCCCTCCTTTTGCCCTTGAGCTACGCCCAGAGTAATAACCTGACTTGAGCCTGCGATCCAATCGCAAACCAGTACCAGTCAGCAGTCAACTTCAAAAAAAAAGTGACCTTGGTGAGCTCTAAATCTAAGCCCGCGATATGGTCTTATAGTACTGATCAGCAGATAACTTGTTTTGACAGCTGTCAATTAACCATAACATGGATGTCCAATATCAATGATGTACCTATCGTAATGGTGCTACTCTTATTTTTCAAGGTATTGGGCTTGGCATACCGATTCAGTCTATTCCAGTGGTTTGGTTCATTGGAGAGCAGCAAGAATAATGGAATAAGCACACAGAACAAGAAGTAAGAAAAAAGGTTGAGGGTTAATCAGGAGAGATGTAGCAAAAGATGTTTGTAACAATGTGGCATCTCTTAGTAATGAACCTCGCATCTTTAAGTTTGAAAAAGTTGGAGGGTATGCAACTAACCAAAAATCTGGTGCAGACTACGATTGATTAGGATACCTTATCTAAATTAACTTCAGAGTGTCTTTGTCCCAGTAATAATTTATAATGCTAACAAGCAATTTCTTCAGGTGCAATGGCTTTGTTACTATTTGGTTTCAGTTATGCGTCAGTCAATTCCAGCAGTGCCCATCCCCCCCCCCCCCGGGCTAACCCCCGGGTATTAGCATTTTTTTAAAAAAGTGGGCAAATTCCCTGGGGTGGGGACACATAAACTGTCTAAATGCCCCGGGGTAGGGACAAAGAAAGAGGGCAAATGCCCCGTTCCGGGATCGTCGCCTTCCAACACCTCTGCAGTTTTTTTATTAATCAGTGAATGAAACGTTCAACTGTTCAGTATTTTAATGCAATGGTAAGACTTCAAGGACAACAGTATGTGTTAGTTGATTCTGATTATATTTATTTCTTTATATTTTGTTTTTCTCAGCTTGCTAGAGAATAGCGTGACATTAAATATTTTGTTGCATAAAAACCATTTGTTTTGAATATTTCGACTAGAATAACGACAATCCCGTTAACAATGTTTAAAATAAAACAATTATCATTGATTTAGAAATCTTACAACTTTAATATTTTATTTCAATACTTGATTATAAACAGTTCGTTGAATCAATAGCCAAAAAATTTAAACCTAGATTTTTTTGTTCAACAGTGTCAAATGCACGTAACAAAGCTGGACCCTTCCATCCACAAAAATGACCACTCTATGTTCGACAAATGCCTTGTCTTTCCTGATGAACTCATCCATGGCACTTTCGAAAACATGTGTCAAATGCCTGGGGGTTGTCCCGGGGTACGCAAATGCCCAGCCCCCTGGCCATGATAAAATTGCGAATGCTCCACCCCAGAACTGACAATGTGAGCAAATGTCCCGCGGTTGCCCGGG